GAGGTAAAATTAGCAACTTACCCCAGATGGGGTCATGTGCACCTGAAGGACTTTGTGAGATACCCAGGAAATTCAGCTCTAGTCTGGATTACTACCTATTAGTGGCAAAAAGCTGTAGCTAAGTTAATTCCAAATGTCAGCAATTCCTGCTATATCGAAATTTAAACTTTCAAGATCAATGAGTCCATTTTGCCCAAGGACCACTCTCCTCTTGTTTTTATTACGATTCTGGTCCAGTTTGCTAGCATTTTCCACAGCCCCTCTGTTGGTCTGGAAACATAAGAAATACTTACTAAATTTGAAGTTAGTATGAGAAATAGAACAGCATTGCCTCTACTCTATAGGCAAGCCTCCTCTCCTTTTCTGTGTCCAGTTCTCCCATCTCAAAGTGAAGGCGGTGGATGGAATTTATCCCCCAAGTCCCTTCTGCTGTCAACATTCCACATGTCTGTGGTGTTTGCCTCTCTTTTTCCTGCCTACATTTTCAAATCATAAGAAGCTCGGGCTACCTCCCCTGGTTAGACTTTTATTGAAAATGGAACCTCCCAAGAAGGCCAGATCTTGTAGCCTGGGCTGCTCTCAGACCAGAGAATCTTTGTTTAAAATTATATTTTGTTAATCCATCACGTGGGTGTGGAGCTTACTATTTTTAATGCATGGGCTGCACAGCCCAGTTATTCATGGCTGAGAGTTTGCCACAGAACTTGAGAGCCATATTTAAAAACAAACAGCCTCAGAGAAGCAGGCAGAAGGCTTCTCTCACAAGCTCATACAATTTGGGTGTGGGAAAGTAAGGGGCCAAGTTCTGCCTCTAAGTGGGACAGCAGTTTGGAAAGGCAGTGAGTTTCTTTGGTCTGTTTGATGCCACACAAGCAAGTAAAGGAACGACCTACCTTACTGCTTATTTAGGTGGTACACTCCATTGACCTTTCCTGAGTCATCTGTCAAAACTCTAGAAACCTGCACTTTTATTACAAGTCTGAGACACTCTTTAGTATCTTCTAATAATTTTCTCTTTCTCTTTCTCTTCACCTTCCTCCCCACCTCCCTTCCTTCTCTTAGGCCATATAACATACTCAGGGAAAAATAAAAGGCACACAAATAGAAACATTTCATTAAACTTAAGCAGAAATACCTACATTTATAAGAACTCAAGTGATTGTTGGGAAACCATAGATAGCTTGCATTGAGATATTAAATTGTAGTAAAAATCAACTAAATGTTGACTTCCTGGACTTTGAGAGATGGTATTAATTTGTTCATTCATTCTTTCATTCAAACACATTAATTAAGGTCATAAGATGAGCCAGGAAATGTATTAAATGTGGTGTTTACAAAGGTGAAGAGACAGCACTCCCCCTTGAGGAGTTCACAGTCTTCTAGGTTAAAAAGTCTCCCAAAAGGGGAGTCTCACTATGAGAACCGTCCTGTGACTGGTCATTGGCCCTGTTACTACATTAATTTGGAAGGATGTTAGACGGAAGCTGGCCATGTAAAGTGGTCTGGACCTTCTGAGAGCTTTCATTCTGCTATACAGCCTAATGAAGGGAGGCTACCCAGTCAGTGATGGGTTTTTCTTACAGCTTAAGTAATTCCAATTTGGTGGATGAACCAATCTTTGGCAAAAACAAGATACTTCAAAAGAGATCTTTTCTTTTGGTTCTGTGGATCGTGAAGAACATCCAAATCTTTTAAAACTAATTATTTTAAATTAGAAGAGTAATACAAGCACATGTAAAGAATTGTAGAAAGGGAGTAATACAAAATAACCAGTCACTCATAGGTAATCACTGTTGAAAGTTTCTCTCTTTAACTCTTATCGTAGTTACCATTACAACTTCTGCCTATTGATTTATCAACTTTGGGTAACATCTATTGACTCCTCACTATGGGATATGAAGTATTAAGTGCAATTGCAATATCATTCACATCCCATCTTCCACAACATTCTCAGTTTTTGTTAGTTATATTTAATTATTACAAAGAATATCTTTGTAATTTTAATACCTCTACTTCTTGATTTATTGAAATTAGACTTTTCTAATTAGACTTTTCTATTTATTTCCTGCTATGTTTTGTTTTCCTGTTTCCTGTTTTGTTTTATGATTATGATGTTTTCAATATTTAGTTTGTAATTTGATTAAAAAAAATTTTAAACCAAAAAAAAAAAAAAGTCCCCCACAAGACCAATTCAGGAAATTACGGTCTGATCCTCTT